AGTTCTGGTGCGTATTGTGTGGAGGGAATCCTGCTGAATGTAGTAAAATTTGGCCCCTGTTTCTACATGACTGGACTGTAAATTCAGCCTGCTTATGAAATAAGGACCAAAATGAGGAACCTGCATTCTGCCGAATATTAGTGGGCTCTAATTTCAAGAAGCACCAGAGAGCATGACTAGTGGTGATAAATGGTAAGGGATTGTAGTGCAACAGAGGGCTTTATAACCCACCCCACATGTAGTTGAAACTGTGGTGGGGCTTAGGTGCATGTGCCAGTCCCACCCTTTGTGCCCCTGACTTTCATTCACATAATTGCACCATCATACAACTGGAACACATCCAATATTACCTGAATTTTGGAATTTAAACAAGGCTACGCCTGGTTAATCCTTGCTTAAATGAACACCAGCGATATCCAGATAGGGCTGGGAAAAACACATTTAACCCTAAGCATTTACAGAGTGCAAAATCAGCAACCACAATTGTAGTGGAAATGTTCTTGCTCTGTTCCTCGAATCCCACCCTAATGGCATCTGTACTTCCTGACCTGCTGTGGCATCTTTTAAAGGTTCCACCACTTTGTCATCTGATGGTTTCCGAGACAGGCAGCCCACAACTGGGCAGTGGGGTGGATGCTTTGAGAATAATGTTTCACAGGTTTGCTTAGAAGATACATTAGCTAAGATCCAGCAGAGTTATTGAACTGATAAAAGGTAAAGGTTCCCCTTGACATTTTTTTAGTCCAGTCGTGTCCGACTCTAGGGGGCGGTGCTCATCCCGTTTTCAAGCCGTAGAGCCAGAGCTTGTCCAAAGACAGTTTCCATGGTCACGTGGCCAGCGTGACTAGGGAACACCATTTTACCTTACCACGAAGGTGGTACCTATTTATCTACTAGCATTTACATGGTTTCGAACTGCTAGGTTGGTGAGGAGCTGGGACAAAGCAATGGGAGCTCACTCTGTTGCGTGGATTCGATCTTACGACTGCTGGTCTTCTGATCCTGCAGCACAGGCTTCTGCAGTTTAGCCCGCAGAGCCACCACATCCCCTTATTGAACTGATAGAATTGTTTAAATTAAACAGAGTTCTCCAAACTTGAGAATTGTGTGCACCAGAGAAGGGAGGAAGGGATGACATACTAAAGATTAATGTGAGGTGACAAATATAACCCACTCATAAATTAGCCATGTTAGTTGCCTATAAATGACTTACTTGCTTTTTACTCATAGGAGGGGGTGGTAGAGAATGGGTGGAGTGCTCCATTTCTACTTTGCCACCTGTTTTTACAAGGAAAGATCAGGTGAATGAAACACCTGTCCAGCTGATGATTGGGGCATGCTGCTTTCCTGCCTTCTCTGCTATCCCCTCTGGTTTCTAATTTGAGCCGGTACATACAACACAGGACTGTAGTGGACTGTTAGTAGCTTAAGTCACGTCTGCATTGTTCGCCTACTAGAGTTGGAGAAAGGTGCTTTGCCTATAGTTGTTACGAGGTTTCAGTGGCAAGTGCAGGGGTGGTGTAAATTACAGTAATACTTGCCAAGTTTTGACAAAAATGGTATGGGAAGTAACCACTCCTGTTATTTACACTTACATGGTAATAGGACTTGTATCAGAATAGACACACAGGGGCTTATATTGGGAGACGGCCAAAATCTATCCTCCATTCCATGCTTACAGCCTATTTCACAAGCATTTTTCTCATGTCATTTTAAATAGCACCTCATGGCTTCATTGTGAACAGATGCACAAAGCATATGGGCAGGCAAGACTATGTAAAATAAAATTGTGTGTTATTTATTTACTTACTTACTTACTTACTTACTTTTAAAGAAATATTTCTGTTGAATCTTAATTGCTTTGAATCAGATGTTCTGGCACGAAAGTAGCTCACTAAGTCTTAACAGTTGTTTTGAGAAATACACTAAATGGATTGAACTCCACCATTGTACACCTGGAAAAAGAGTCTATTCTGGATTTTTAAGTATTAGCAGCCATGTGTGTGTAGATGAGTGAAAAATCACTCATGTACTGTAGTTGATTTGAACTTTGAACTGCTCTCTTTATTTGTAAATCTGTTCCCCTTCTTTTTGTATGCTGCTTTTGTCAGATTTTCTTCTTCGTTTTCCTGCATAAAACATAACATAAAATAAAAAAGCAATATTTATTTATGTTGATAGTGGGCTATTTAAAGAATTTGTTTAGTTTAAGGGAGTGGCTACTCTGCTGGAAGGAAATGTATTTTTCACTAAACAATAATGTTATATAAAGTTGTCTTAAAATAATGCATTTTTCAAAAGCAGAACTCACTTAATCTTTATTCTCCATGACCTTTCTTTAGTTTTCCTTCCATTCTTCCCACAGTTCAGTTTCAGTATCTTGCAAAATAGATAAGGCTGCCATATTTCCTGACACCCGTAAAGAATAATGATCACAAAATAAAATAACCAAAGAATCATGTTGTGAAAGTCCTATGAAAGGTTGCATACAATTGTTTCACTTAAGGTTAAATCCCCTAATCCTGCTTTGGGTAGGCCCACCAAAATGAATGGGATTTGTTTGGCACAGTGAGTGTATATTATACCTAGGACTAACATTGGATTTAATCCTGAACTAATTCATTTTAAGTGGGGATGGGGAACTTTGGCCTTCCAGATGTTAATGGACTGCAACCTCCATGATTCCTCAGCACTGGTCATGTTGGCTAATGTTGATGAGAGATGCAGTTCAACAATATTTGGAGGGTTGCTCACCCTTGATTTCCAGTGGTACCAGAGTACAAAATGCCTCCAGTAAGTTTTGGGATTGGTGGAAAAAGCACCACACTCCATCCAGAGAGGAATATAATAATGCTATGCATGACTAAAGGGCTGGCTGGAAAAGTCAGTGGTTTAGGTACCTGGCTGCAGAGCCAGAGATTGGGGGTTGAACCTTTTTCCACCAATCCCAAAACTTCCTGGAGGCATTTTGTACTCTGGTACCACTGGAAATCAAGGGTGAGCAACCCTCCAAATATTGTTGAACTGCATCTCTCATCAACATTAGCCAACATGACCAGTGCTGAGGTATCATGGAGGTTGCAGTCCATTAACATCTGGAAGGCCAAAGTTCCCCATCCCCACTTAAAATGAATTAGTTCAGGATTAAATCCAATGTTAGTCCTAGGTATAACTCACTGTGCCAAACAAATCCCAAACAAATCTTGCTCTTCCTCCAGATGCCTAAACCACTAAGCTATCTAGCAGTTTCATCATCATAATCATCATTATGCAGGGCAAATAATGAAGGATACTGTTCTAGGACTGTGAGGATCACAACCTTATGACATATAATTGTCTTGTATTTCATTTAGCTTTTGAGGGTTTGGACATATGTTAGTAGCAAAAAGGATTTTCAAAAAACCCTGAGGGAATTGGCTTTAGTGTGCATCCCTTTGGGAAGCAAAAGTCCAATTAGCAACTCTTTTAAATAAATAATAAGGGCAAAATACTTTTAAAAATATGTGTGGTGTGATAATTGCACGAGCAGTTTGCACCCTCTGGTGGGTTGTCCATTATGTGACAGAGGTTCTGTTAAAGCAGTGTTTCTCAACCTTGAGTAAGATATTTTTGAACTAAAACTCCCATAAGCCTTCACCACTAGCTGTGTTGGCCAGGGTTTCTAGGAGTTGGATTTCCAAGGTTCCAACATCTGGGGACCCAAGGTTGGGAACCACTGTGCTAAAGAGAGCCACACACTTGCCCTATTGCTGTTATGTATATTTTTTTTCCCAACAGGATTCTGGCCTAAGTAAATAACCTGTTCCTAATATACCACATGCTTAGAAATAATATGTATAATCTGTAAATGCAGCTGCCGACATGTGAGGAACTGAAATGCTGTGATTCCAATAATGGGTATAAGCTATAGACATATGTTAGAACTTTAGTTTCAACATCCTTAAGTAATTAGTTAATGCTTAGAGTTTGGAAGCTTTTTTCAATGTAATAACTTTTTGGATCTCTGCAGGCTTTGATTGCAAATCAGTTCCTCATTCGGAGTAAATTCATTCCCCTAATAGGTTTAACGTTAGATGTGCCCAGAGCTAAGCATGGCTAATGCTGGGCATAGCAACATACCAGAAAAATAGCATTCATATTTGATATACGTACAACCTAAACATGGGTTTACCTCCGATAATTTGAAAACTTCCCAGGATGGAGCTGTATTCCAAAATTGTAATTTTTCTAGATTCCAGTTAACATCCTCTGGGAAGGATGAAGACCATTCATTATGGAGAAGGGAAGAGAGAGCGTATATCCCTGAAACATGTTCTCTGTTTGTGTCCAAGAGTTTTAGACAGGCTCTATTAAAATCTGCACAGTTTTCTAAATCTTACTTTTAGTTGCCATCTTTCTGCCTTGGTTGATAGTCTTGTTTTCCTTGATCAGAAGCCTAAGAAGAAAATCACTAGCTGTAAGCCATGAGTTCAAAAAGAACAGTAGACCTTTGCGCTATTGCTGTCTACAGAAAGTTGTGCTTGTCTATGGGGAGAAAGGACCAGAGTATGGGAAAGTTACTTCTTTCTTTTGGGGGGGGGGGGGCAGTAGACCTTTGCGTTATTGCTGTCTACAGAAAGTTGTGCTTGCCTGTGGGGAGAAAGGACAAGAGTATGGGAAAGTTACTTCTTTCTTTTGGGGGGGGGGGGAGAGAGAGATTACAAATCCCAGATTCCCCAAAGTAGCATGACTAATGGGAATTGCAGCCTACAGGATATTTTCCAGGTTCTAGACGGGACAAAATCCCAGATTCCCCAAACTAACATGACTAATGGGAATTGCAGCCTACCCTATGATCAGGATATTTTCCAGGTTCTAGACGGGACATGCATGCATGTTGGGCTTCCTTGAGGGCAGAAAGGCACTTTTGGCGTGTGGTCCATTCTGGCTCCTACCTGTCAGTTTTCTATCTCTGCTATTTCAGTGGAAATTTAGCCTCCTTTTGTACTGATGTTTTTCAGGGATTGCTTCTGAGATCATCCTTTGGCATGGGCCACCCTTTCCCAACCTGGAGGAGGAGAAGAGCGGTACCTCAAGGAGCCACCTTCTACGTTCTTTTACTGAGGCCACCTCAAGCCTGAGAAGAACCTCGGTTCCCTGAGCCCAGCCACCATGCCTTTCGGGCTGAAATTGCGAAGGACCAGGCGTTACAATGTCCGGAGCAAGAACTGTTTCATGACCCGGATTCGCTTGCTGGACAACAGTAAGATCGAGTATACCCTCTCTGTGGAGAGCACCGGGCAAGAGTGCCTAGAGGCCGTGGCTCAGCGGCTAGAATTACGAGAGGTGAGGCAAACCTAGGAAAAGACCATCTGTCGCCTGCAATTTGGCATATTGTTAGCTCCGGCCTTTTTGTCATTTGGAATCTGTTTATTAGACTATGTTATTCTTGGACTTGGCCCGATCTTATCACTGAATGGAACTTTGGCAAATGTATCCTGCTTACATAAAAGGCAGGGACAGTCCATTACCTACGGTTTGATTTGTGATTCACTGTTATTTCCTGCCAAGGCAAACTCCCGGTGATTTGAAACGGGCATTTATTCCCTCTCTCTCCCTAAATTAATGCTACTTGCTATGTTTTTGAGTGTTTCGCTCATGTTTCTGCAGTTCAGCGTGGCACCCAATGTGTCCACGCTGTCTCTTCTGTAATTTAAGATAACATGGTATTGCACTGAATTATTTTTTTAAGTCTCCCCTCTTCAATATTCACTAAGAAATCATTGAGCGCTGGAGCAGATCTTGTAAACACCATTGCTTTTTCCATTGTTGTAAAAGTTTGTTACACAGATGCAGGGCAGGCAGATTTCAGAGATCCATGTATTTTTTTAAACAGCATTGTGGATGCTGTTGGGACATGGGTAGGAGGGAAAAGCAAAAATAACTCTGTTGGCCTTTGAAAATATTTATTGGACAAGGTTATGACAAAATAATAAAAGGGTTCAAAGTCAAGCAAGAAGAACATGCACTCATTTTATCGTGCTTAGTTGCTTACCCTGGCTGGATAGCTCAGTGGTTTAGGGAGAGGTTGGGGGTTCAATTCCCCACTGTGCCTCTTCCACAAATCCAGCCTGTCTGGCCTTCGGCCTGCACAGTCTGCAGCTGCCCCCCACCAGAAAAAGGGATGGTAAGCCACTTCTATGTATAGACATCCTGGAAAGAGTTGCCATAAGTCAGAATTGACTTGACGGCATTCCAGTATTATTAGTTCCTTAGCAATGGATTGTATTTAAGCATGTTACATATTTTGTGACTTGAAGTGTAGAAGGTGAATTAAATCATGCACTTGAATTCTTGATTTCTGCTGATTTTGGTAGGTCTGTTCTTGTGGCACATTTAACATTCTATAAAATAAAGTTCACTAGAACATAAACATATTCTAGTCATCTTTGATGAGTTTACCTGGCCTAAATTCCTTTCTTCTGGGAGTGCCCTGAGACTGTGCAGCTTGCCCAGGGTCACCGAGTATCCCTTTTGCTCTCTGGGGGTGTAACTGGTTGCCACACACCATTCGAGTATCCCTTTTGCTCTCATGCTGTCCTGGGGGTGTAACTGGTTGCCACACACCATGCATGGCACTGGGATTATCGCCACGAGATACCTCTTTTAGCTGTTTTGCTTGTGCAGCATGGGTGGGTGTTCTTTGGAATTTGGATGGAGGCCAACTGAGCATTTCAACAGAAAAACATAGCAAGGTCAGATAGTGCCGCTTCCCCTTGTATGGCCTCACTTTGAATCTGTAAGCTTTCAATTCTCTTGTATTTGCTATATTTAAGGCTCTAGTATTTCAATGTTCAGTAGAGTCTATTGGGATACAGTGCCTGGAATCCTGTTGCTTAGCATAGTGAGTCACACTAGCATAGGCCCATTGAACCAGCAAGGATTTGGTGAGCCAGCTTTTCCCTAGATTCCATCGATTCAAATGGACCTACTCTAGTGTGACTTGCTCAGCTAAGCAACAGAATTTTGGCCAGTGTATTGTATTGTCTATCTTTGATCCAATAGAATTTACTATGACAAAGAAAAGAATATAATAAATGATTTCTGTTAAAAAAAGTCTTTATATTACTTACCCATTAAATTTGTGTCTGCCTTTATTCCAGTGAGCTCTGTGAAGTCAGGCTTGGTGGAGAATACAAGCTTTATCTCCCAAATTCTAGCCTATCCCACCATCCGCTTTGCTTCACTGATTCATGTAACCAAAATCAAGGAAAGTCAAGTTCTGGTTGTTTAAATAAATTACCAAGATTCAGAACAAACAAACAAGTCGAAAAGTTTTTTTTTAAAAAAAACAGAGTATTTTAAAAATCTTATATATCCCATAAGGCAGCGGTCCCCAACCTTTTTAGTAGCGTTTCCATGGTATGTAAGATATTTAAGGAGTGATTTTAGTTTTTTAAAAAAACAGAGTATTTTAAAAAATCTTATATCTCCCATAAGGCAGCGGTTCCCAACCTTTTTAGTAGTTTCCATGGTATCTAAGATATTTAAGGAGTGATTTTACCATTGCCCACCCCTCATGTGAATTTCCATAGTTGAGCAAATATTTGAAACGGGTGTCAATCCTGCTGCTCAGGTCACCTGAGTCCTAGTCCAGCATTCTGTCTAGTGCACTGGTTCTTAACCTTGGGTTACTCAGGAGTTTTGGACTGCAACTCCCAGAAGCCTTCGCCACCAACTGTGCTGGCTGGGGTTTCTGGGAGTTGCAGTTCAAAAACATCCGAGTAACAAAGGTTAAGAACCACTGGTCTAGTGCACTACACTGGCTCTCAAATAACATGCTAATATACAGTAATTGGATTCCAAAGTGCATAGAATCGTCCAGTAGTATGGTCATGCTGGGTTAAGGTTTTGGAAGCTGTACTCCACAGAGAGAGAAAGAGAGAGAGAGTTCTAAACTCTTTATTACTACAGAACTAGTTCCATTTCAATTCAATCCCATAATTTCACTTTTCATCTCAGGATCAAACTGAGTGTTTTGCTTAGAGCAGTGGTTCCCAATCTTGGGTAACCCAGGTGCTTTAAGCTTTTCCAGATGCTGCAGGTGACCTGCACTCACTGCCAGCTCCACTTGCAGGAGGAGTAAGATTCAGGGAAAAAAATGAATTCACAGACCTCTTGGGAATTGAGAAGCTTGTAGCAAAAGACACGCCTTGACATCTTTTTTTAATTTTTAAAGGAAAACACACAAGATTTTAGCAATGTGGTTGACATCCATTTGTTGGGTATAATTCTTCTCCACATATGACTTTCTAAGGCGTGTAATTGCAACCTGATTGTTTGGTGAGCTAGTTAAGCAGCATGGTTTAACACAGGATAAATCTTTCTGCTTCCCATGCATTCCCTTAAGGCTGATGCCTCCCTTACTAACTCTGATATGGTCACCAGAGAAATGTCTGAGTTCTACACAGTGGGCAGATTTCTCCACAGCCATTGTGACTTGCCAGGAAAGGAAATTTCTGCTCACTTGCTTTTTCTTGGAATGTGGTATGAACTTCAGACAATACGTGTTTTGTGTGTTTCTGTTTGTTGAGTTTGTTCTGGGCTCTGTTTTAGAGAGTTATGGATTGTTTCCCTACTGTAATTTATCTTTAAAAAAAAAATCATTGAAAGCTTCTTCTGCTAAAAGCTGTTTTTAATTATTGTGCTTTTGGAATCTGCTTCTGATTGCTGTAAATATACAGCATACACCGCTTGGACTAATTGGTGTCCTTTTAAAACAGCTGATATTGGAAATCTGGGATTCTGCATGATGCATATAATATTGTTTATTTCTGTGATTCCAGTCTACACAGTACCACTGTTTTAAAGAAACGTTTGGTCTTGAAAATGAAATTACCCTTTAACAGAGTTTCGGAGTGGTCTAAATATGTAAATTATGCTGGATTTATTTGTGTATTTATTTACCTACCTACTTAGTTGCCAGGCCATCACTTTGCCACTTTTCATTTTAAAATCTCAAAGCAGTTTGCAAATATTGCAGTGTTTGATCACTAAATGGTTACAAGATCAGCAGCAGTAGAACAATACCTTATTTCATTAAAGTCACAAGGGGTCAGTGACGAGGTTGAATCATCAGGAAAGTGGCTGCGCAAACAAATATGGCTTTAATTAAGAATGGAAATACCATTCATTTGGAGTCCACCACAGTAAGGAGATTTGTAGCTGGCAAAGTGCAATAGTTTTGCTCAACAGATTTCCCCCCCCTCCAATTTTGTGATGTAACAGAATTTTGTTTTCTGGTCTGACACTGAGATAAATTAGATCCCAAAGTGCCTAGGAGTAGAACCTCTTTACCATCGGTCCTTTCTTTTCAATTTTGTGGCACTTTCTTACATCCCGAGACATCCGTTTTTAAACAGGCCTTGAAAAATGTTTTTATTTCAATTTTCTTTGAGTTCAGAAGTACAGTATGACTACTGTAATTGTTTTAACTGTTGTTATTTCTATGTTTGTTTTGTCTGAAGTTCATGTTTTTTCTTGACTTGCTGTGCTGCTCTTTAGAGTGGTTTAGACTGCTCTTTTACTACTGTCAATTCATGGCGATAACATGATTTTAGTCATGTTTTATTTTAATTGTGTCTCTGAGTTATCCTGAGAGGGCTTGCACTGAAAGCTAGAAAAGTAATAGAGGCAAAGTTAACAGACTGCAAGACAAACCTTGTGCTCCAAAAAAGTTGACTTTGTGCCTTCAACCCCTTTCTCCCCTCATCCATTTTAGCAAATGGCATCTTCAGTCTTCTAAGTGGGGATCAGCAAGATTTTGATCATGTTCGCGGCTTACTTTGTTCCGAAATCAGACAACTGGGTGCTTGCTGTGAGAATAAATAAGAACCGTAGTCTGGACGATTGGCAACTTCCAGAAACCTGAAGGTCACCTACCCTTACCCTTGGATATTAGACTTGGCCCCCATCCACCCTGCTCACCTCCAAATATTTTTTTTAATTTTTAAAGCTGTTTACTGAAAAAGCCCATAATGACAAAAAGAGCCTTTCTATTAAGGGGGGAAAACAGTTTCAGGATGTGTGTGGGATGTTGGGAGGATAACCACAGAAAAATTACCTTCTATGCTCCAAGCAAATGTCTTTTTAAAAATGAATTTTGGGGTGGACTGGAGACCTCAGATGTGTTAAGGATATGCACATGGACCTCTTGGGTTGAATGGAACCTGCAGGCTACACTTGGTACACTAGATCTGTATAGAGAAAAGTTGGTTGTCTCTTCACAGACTTTCCTGTTCTTGACTGTGATTTATAATGTTTACAGCCTCTACTGGCACCAGGGAAGTCATATTCCTTGAAGCTCTCACATACTACTGTCAGTATGGTCCACCATGTTCATCCTGCTTGTTCAGAGGTGTACATGGCCTGGCTACCCGTCATGGCCCAGTTGTCATGCTGGTTCATGGATACCTCTGCTCAATCAGAATAACAAAAATGGCATGTGCCTTCAAGAAAACCCACCAATGGTTGGAGCAAGGCAGAGCTGGGATCCCAGTTTCCAGCAGAGGTGAAGAAATAGAAGGGGGGGGCAGAAAGAGTCATCTTGAGATAAGTTAAGTCTTTGCTTAAGAGCAGTCCCATAGCCTAAAATAGGATGTTCTGTAGGTAAGACTGTTAAATTCCATTCTATATTAAAACAGTTCTGATATAATGGTTACATGTTGTTACTGTCATCTAAGTTGTGAGCCGCCCAGAGTAGACGCTATAATGGTTACATGTTGTTACTGTCATTAGGGAAAGAGACAAAACCACTGGACTCTACTTCATCAGTTTTGGTTCTACTTACTGTTGGCTTTGAGTATGTCACCCATTGTGTGTGTGTGTGTGTGTGTGTGTGTGTGTGTGTGTGTGTGTGAAATAAATAAATAAATAAATAAATTAGGGAGAGAGGCAAAACCATTGGACTCTACTTCATCAGTTTTGGTTCTACTTACTGTTGGCTTTGAGTATGCCACCCATTGTGTGTGTGTGTGTGTCTAAGTGCCTAACCCTGACTCTGTTCCCGACCCAAGATCTGAAACCTTAGTTCATGATTTCTCTTTGATTGCCATCAACAATTATTAATGTATTGGTACAAGGAAGGCACCTTTTGCCAAGGCAGACTATTTCACCGGTTAGTGCAGCATTTTCTAATCTGTCTGGCACTGGCCTTTCAGGATTTTGAGCGGGCCCTTTCCAGAGTTTGCTACCCAGTTTTTTTAATGGTACATGCTGAGAATTCCATCTTGGATGTTCTGCTAGCAAACCAATCGTATTTATGATCTCTCCTCTGACCAAACACAGCACCGAACCGTGGTTAAAAGAGGAGGAAGGGGTCTCTGTCGTGTTGCGTCCTTGCGGCCCCTTAGTCTTGATTACAGGAAAGGAAGTGTTCCTCTAATTCGTAGACTAATGCAATACAGTTGGTTGCTCTTCCATGTATCATCATGAATTGCACATACAAGATGTATGTTCGTGTCCCCAATAAGTCAAATCTATTAATAAGACCACGTGGTATGTAAAGTACCACTGCAGGGCTATTACAAAGCATCATGCAAATTTGTCCATGAATTTGGATAGAAAGTATGAGTTTTTCCTTCCATGGGAGGGAGCAGGAAGAAGAACCATTTTGATCAGGATTTAATAGGGTGCTTCCATGGAATGATTCCCATCCGTGGAACCATGGAGGTTGGATCTCTCTTTCCTTCTGTAGCTAACCGTGCATACTAAATATGTGCTCCGAGAGTTCCAGCCATCCCACTCCTGAGTTGATCTTGAAGTAGCATGAAAGGCAGCAGTACAATAGCAAGGGGAACAATGTCTCCTCATGCCAGTAGTTGACTAGTAGTGCAGTGCTGCCTTCAAGGCATTGTCATTAGTTATTAGAGATGGGGGTATTTGTATATGGATATCTATTAGTTATTACCGTAGAGATGGGGGTATTTGTATATGGATACCCTCCCACAGGTGCAGATAACTAGCCACTCACCTGTCTGCCGCTGCTGCAGGCTCTGTGATCCCTTCCTATCACTCCGGAGCTCGCAATGGATTAGCCACTCTTTGACCTGGCAGAGAGGCTCGTTAACCCCTCCTTCTGCCACGAACTCCGGAGGGATGGCAGAGCCCGTGGGAGCGGCGGACAGGTGAGTGCTCGGTCTGGCCCCAGGGGGCCAGACCCTCATTATCTGCATCTGTGGGGGAGATATTCGTATACGTGTATGAATACCCCCTTCTCTATTAGTTATTTAAATGTTAACAGGCATAGGTTTTAAATATAAGGTGAGAGGAAAAGAAAAAAGTCCATTACTTTTTGTAAATTTGCTTAGAGAATAAACTTTTAAACTCTTCTCCCCTCTCTTTCTCTAGACACACTATTTTGGCCTTTGGTTTCACAGCAAGAATCAGCAAGTGCGATGGGTCGAATTGGAGAAACCTTTGAAAAAGCAGTTGGACAAGTTTGCCAGCGAGCCTCTGCTTTTCTTTGGGGTCATGTTCTACGTGCCCAGCGTTGCTCGTCTGCAACAAGAAATCACAAGGTATTCAGAGCGCTGTTTCTTTTTTGCTTTTGGCTGCTAAGTGCATGTGCTCATTGTTGATGAGACACAGGCTCTTCACAATCCTCATTGTGGGTGGGAAGCAATCTTGAGGACACAAGCTTGCCCTCTGTTTCTAGTTCTCTCCTCTCGTGGTTCTTGTTGGGTTAGGCATCTGGCAGGTTTCACTACATGGTAAATGCCAAGTGGATGCTGTCATTATCAGGTTTTCCAAAGACGCGTAAAATTCAGGTTTCGGAACCAGGGTTGGTAGGAAGCCAGTAGGCTTGTTGCTGCATGGATAATGTTATGTAATTCTTCTTTGCACCAATTTGTATCAAGTTCACTTGAACTGTGGTTTGTATTTCATCTCCTATATTTAGCAAACTTTTTAAAAAATGATGTATGGGTGGGTGGAGAAGGAGAAGAAGGATGTATTAGGTTTCCTCTACTAGTGTTGTGCAAACCCTAGTAAAAGTTATACTTTTGTGCATGAATGTAGTAGGTATTTCTCTGTGTTTTCACTTAAGAACATACAGTGGTGCCTCGCATAGCGATTGCATCGTATAGTGATGAATTCGCTTTGCGACGAAGATTTTGCGATCGATTTTGCGATCGCTTTCCGATGTTCCCTATGGGGAAATTTCGCTTTGCGATGATCGGTTCCCTGGGGAACTGATCAAGGCAAAGCAAGCTTCTCCACCAGCTGATCGGCGGAAGGAGGGGCTAAGGGGCTGGCCCCAATCCCTGCGCGCAGCCAGAGAGCTGCAAAGGAGGAGGCGGCCGGGGACCGGGATCAGGGCGGCAGCGCTGGACGGGGCGGCGGCACGCCAGAGACCCCTTCCCCACCCCATCTGCACCCCGCCGAGGAGACCGGGCATCGTGCAGGGCTGGGTGGATTTTTGCTTTGCCCTGATCGGTTCCCTGCTTGGGGAACCGTTCAGGGCAAAGCAACTGCGGAAGGAGGGGGAAAGGACCTGGCCCCAATCCCCGCGCGCAGCTAGAGAGCTGCAAAGGAGCAGGTGGCAGGGACCGGGATCAGGGCGGCAGCGCTGGACGGGGCGGCGGCACGCCAGAGACCCCTTCCCCACCCCATCTGCACCCCGCCGAGGAGACCGGAGACCGGGCATTGTGCGGGGCTGGGTGGAATTTTGCCTTGCCCTGATCGGTTTCCTGCTTGGGAAACCGTTCAGGGCAAAGCAACTGCGGAAGGAGG